CAGGTCGTCCGGTAGCCAGCCGTCCGGGGAGGAACGCACTGGGTGTGAGATGGTGTGGAGGAGCTGCTGGTGCTGGTGCTGGTGCTGGTGCTGGTGCTGAACGAGAGGGTGGAAGTTGCGGAACACGGACACCTGCGGAGGTGCAGGGCCACGAGCGAACGAACCTGCCTGGTCAGTCGCAGTGTGGGTCTTGGGGCCCTTGGGTCCTTCTTCGTCTGGTGCTTGGTCTGCTTGGCCGGGCAGGCTTGAGTCGAGGAGAGTGGGGCAAAGGACAGGCTGAGGAGGAGCTTTGTCGATCGTTCTTGACCCAGCAGGAAGGGTGGCGGCTTCTACCGCGCTCGGACGCCAGGTATGACTGGAAGCCAGAATTACGGGCCTGCCGTTGGTTTTCCTGTTCCCTGAGGCCATCACCAGTGTCTTAGCCCTCTTCCCATGCCTTTGTCGACGTATCCAACGCCATGGTAGCTATACCTTACTCGGCAACCGCTGCGAATCCTCGCTCAATTCACGACTGTTTAGTGTCGCGAATGACCTTTTCCATTCGTCCTAGCTCCGGCACCTCGATAGCCTCCCAAACGGCGACTGCCCGCCCAGGCAATCGGCATGATTCAAGCGCTCTCGGCCACCCTCCTTCCCCTCCTCCCAACTACCGGCCGGCCGCTGCACTGCATCGAGCGCGCCCCCAGCCTAAGGATTCCCCCATTCAGTCGTCTGATCTCACTACCTTACGAGCCCTATGATATCATATTCTTGCAGTAGGGCACAGTCAGGATCCTTGTCAAATCTCTCTGTCATGAGGTACTCGATCAGCCTCAAGTGGGTCGTCCCGAGTCTGTCCGGCGGCTGGCGAACGACTTGCGTATGTGTCCTTCAGTCTCCTGACCTCTTCAACATGGGGTCTGCAAGAGGATTTGTCGGACCATTACGAAATGTCGCTCAATGCCCGCTCACTCGAACACACACAGCGATGACTCTTTTCTGCCTGCGTTGGCTATTGCCATTGGCAAAAGCGCTGCCAAGTGTCTTCTTACGGCGACTGTGGCTGATTCGGCGGGCGAAGCCGGAACGATGAACTGGCTGAGCCCGGTTCTTATGCTCAAGTGACAGAACTCGGCATCCGTCGTCAAGCGAGGAATCGAGAAATGACAAGGTGTAAACACCGCATAAATATCATGGCAGTCCAATCCAAGACACATCGTACTGTCAGGTCCACGAATGAACATCGCCCCACCAGTCATAGCACCAGTTCTATCCATGGACACTCAGGTCACCCCGATAAAGCTTGCTGCGGCGGCAGCAATAGCCTTGCCTACCATCATCGCAGCCAAGCATATCTTACAAGTCTACGCGAGAATCTCTGCCGCCCCGCGACGGAATATCACTGAAGTCGACGTTAATCCCGCGTCCTTCCTACAATCCATTACCGTCACCCAGCATGTCAACCCGAATGGTCATCCGGCGCTACATGACTGCCGTCACATGGACGTGTCGATCCCGGAATATGCCAGAGATCTGGCCGATCAAGTGCTTCTTGCGGCTTTCGTCCGGGGTTTCTTTGGCGGAATGGTCTTTGCCCCTGAGCGGGCCGTGCTAAGGATTGCCAAGCTCAACCTCTTGAACTATCCCAGTTAGTCTCCCCGAGACCCTGACCCTTAGAGCGGTCATCACATCAACACTGCTGACAAGGCTCAGGTCTCAAGAGTAATGCCTCCGTATGGCCCGTGTGGCATGTCAGCCAACTAGCCGGTGACGAGCTGCTGCCCGTGACCACCGTTCTCTTCGGCGCCTTCCAGATAAGCGATAGTCAAATCCACCGCCCAGGGGATAGTACCACCGATCAAGTGGAGACGGAGAGTAGTGTTGATTTCGTGTTCGGCTCAAGTCAGGGTAACTTTAGCGGCACTCATCAATTCAGTATCCTCAGAACCAAAGGACACTCTGAAAAAGCCCGCGTCAGATACGCACACATCAGCTGCAACCCAAATGGTGGCAAGCTCCCAATGCCTGACTTCGTGGCCCCTCTGCACAACTTTTATGCCATGCTGCTCTTCAGGGAGGCTGTTGGAGAGGTCAAGCGACGACTGGAGTATCGAGATCAGAGATAAATAGCCGACAGGGCAACCTTGTGGTCAAAGGCTTGGGCCAGCGCTATGGGGAGGCTTTACTCTGTAGCTTCATTCGTAAAGACAGGTTGCTTCGCTATTCTTCTCTCGCAATTCATCCAGGAGACGGAACTCTAATTGATCACCCGACTTGCAGGTGAGGATGAAGATACAACCACGAGACATCTTGCAGATTAATCACTCGGCTAGCGATTGTATTGTACCAGGAGGCCCCCGCGGAGTCACAGAACAAGGGGCAGGTTAGGGGCCAAGAACTACGAGAACGTGTGTATGAGGACTGCGCAGAGCCAAATTTCAGGTGTGTTCTACCCCCATACCTATTGCCTGCGGAACTAGTGTGGAAGACCTTTTCACTCCGCTCAAAGCACGCTCTGGCAGGGCGTGTAATGTCAGAACATCAGATAGAAACAAGGGGGGGGGAAGGGGGGGGTGACCCCTGTCAAGGAGTTCTTGCGACGAGTGAAGGATAATAACTGTTGGTCTCTTGGAGGTCTCTGATCAAGTAGAATAACCGATACCCTTCTTCTAAGACTACCTATGTAGCGGTGAGCCTTCTTATACATAATGTAGTCCCTCGTATAGCTCAGTCCTCCCTTCTGCATTGTAATCCCTTGCCCAACAGCCGGTATCCCCCAGTTTTATTATTGTTGAGCGAGGGTCCTGGCAATAGCCCTCTGTCGTTCTTCATGCTTCAAAAGACATAACTCTCGTCCACGTCTCAAAATAAGACTTACAAAGCCAGTTCATATTGCATCCTATGAAGAATTCTATACATGATCCTCAAGTCAAAGAATTAGGTTTGGGCTCCAACCATTATTCAAAAAGTCTGATCGCGAGCTTATGCCTACAGCAATCACCAAGAGTTTCAAGGAGCACCCATTTTTATGCTCTCAATGCCAAACTATCAGAACTATTCACTGATCTCAAAAAATTATATGGTAAGTCATCCTTACTTCCATCCTTAAGTTCCATATTCATAAGAAGAAAGCATCACGTCTTGTCTATATCCAAGGACCAGTTATCTGTCAGCTGTAGCAAAACTCGGGAATACGCTTGCTATTCGGTAGCAAGGGGAAAGCGGCTGCTCAATCAAGCCAGCCCCATCCGCCTTTTACGCAGGCTTACTCCCCTTCCATGGGCTCTCGAGATGTGGAATAAGATCCACCGTATACCTTTGGAAAAGATTTCTCAACGAGCTGATATTGCCATCCCTCCATTGACACAAGCAAACGTGCTAATGTAACCAGAGATCTTTTCAGGATGATACGAGTATACACGCATGCATGACTTCTTCCTTGGACATTTCACGTATGCAACCGAGAGCTCCAGATGCGCCGGGTGAGATTGGGAATTGCTTGGAAAGCAATGTTCCTAGTCTTGCTGTACTCCTGCCAACCAACCAGGTGAGCGTCGATACTTGGCAATAAAACCAGTCAACCTTTTTTTTTACCTAGTTTTCTACGTATCACACAATTTTGGTTTCTTGAATATGTCACCCGCGAGTCTTGCGACAATTGCAATGGTTCATCGCGGCTTACTCTGAGAGACTTTGAAGATAAGGACCGGATACCAAGTTGCACCACCGTCATAAGCCAGCATTCCATGCGCTCTCTCAATTAAAAGCCATACATCCGGCGTCTCTAGGGCCTGGAGTATCGATCTACGCGTCAAAAACAGACAACTGTGGTGACTCGAGATGTAAGGCCTCACCTTTATTCCCATGCATCATGTTGTGAACCTCCATCATGATCCCAGTTGTCTAAGAAGTATAGACAAAGCTTTTAGCCAAAAGCATTCGAAGAAAAATTCTTGCTAGTCGAACGTCTTCTCATCCTAATGCTCGGAGCCGGAACCAGAATTATGCGTGAATGGATGTACTACTACTTGTAAATAGAACCGATGAAAACCCGGACCCCGTCTTGATCGATTTTATCATTGGCGAGGGATCCCTAGCATATCTGGGAGACTACTTTGCCGTCATTTGGCCCTGATATCCAGCATAATAGTCGGCCGTGCTAGGTACAGTCGTCAGAGGCGAAATGCGTGAGAGAAGGCGTTGGACAGAAAGTTTGATGTTTCTGATCATGGAGAAACGAGGACCTACTTCTCTGGCCGCATGAAAAGCACTCCAATTTGGATATGAAAGATTGAATTGGAGAGCTCTTCTTCGAAGGAGTAATGCAGCTTGACTCCCATTGTGTGCCCTACGTGTTGCTGTTTGCGTGAAGTATCTAGTCTTCCCATCGGTTAATATTGAATGCCCCCCAGTTCTTGGAGGCAACCTTCCCATGGGAGAGGCTCGATTTCATGCAAAACGTCTATTTTTCTGAAGGAAGTTCCAAGTTGGCGGCCAACTACTCGCTTCAGCGCATTTGTCAAATCCGGGCTCACCTGGGCCTTTCTCTTTACACAGGTGCAGTAAACTCACATAGCTAGGCCACGATCCGAATCTTTTACGAGACAGCTTTAAGCGGCCTCTCAGTCAAATTCAGAAGGATCGTCTCAATTATCGCGAAGCTTGAAAGCCAGGTTTATGCCAACCTCTAGGGCAAGCTGGAAAGAGGATGTGATTCAGCACGATGTTCGATCTCATGAAGAAGAACACAGTCATCATGTCTTGCGGTACAAAACGAAAGCAAAGAATATTGTTTTTGGCAAGTCCCGCAGGACAGACTTCTTCCACCTTATTTTATGGCTCAGATGCAATGTACGCGGCTAGTCATATCGTGACCTGCCATCTTGCATTGCACTAATGAACACCATTATTTATTGCGAATCATGATGGTCCCATCGCTTGTAACCTCGGCGACATTTTCTATTCCCGTGCTTCCAATTTTCGGTGGATTTGCGTCTAGATTTCGGAGCAGTCGGGTTAAAGTCATGGTGTCACAGCGATTCGGCGTACGTCGTCCTGTTAGAGGCGCACCCCAGATTGTCATCATTGGCCACGTCTTGGCCGCCAAACATCCAGACTTCGTGCTCATTCGTTGGAAGTTTTTGCAACAGGTGATGTTAAAGTGACGACCATTCTGCCAACTCCATTGCCGTGATGCCATTTATTCATCAGTTCGATTGTGATCTCCATTTCTGGGCTGTGGTCCTGAGCAGGAGAGACTTCAGCACGTGGGTGCACGAATAGCGACGCTGCTGGTGGTATTGTCAGGCTATATGGGGACCACAGCTCTGTGAGAAAAAGGGGAAATGCGGATGGAGTGGTCCTTCGTAGAAGACAGCAGGAACTTTGGCAGACCAAATATTCGTATCGGCAGACCAGAACTACGCCGAAATAGCTGAAGGAATGGGAAGTCTAGGTGGGGGTGGGGGTTCCGGGAAGTCTGATCTACATTTTATCACCTAACAGCACCTCGATGATAGCGGGTAATCTAATTCAAGGAGTAAAGCGTCCGGGGTAATTCGTCGGGGCGTGCTCGACGCCCACCATGCATTGTTCTAGAAAACAGTCATGGATGCATTTCTATGACATGCCAAAAGGTCAGCTGTCAAGAAAAAAAAAAAAAAGAACTGCCGCCTCGCTTCATTGAGCTAAAGCAGTAGACCCCTACCTTGACCTAGATAGGGTGCCCCAGCTCGACAGACTCGGCGCAAGCCTCCGACAGATAAGCTCTCCGATGCTCGGAATGGGAAAAGGCGTTACCAGGTCGAACATCCCCAGTGAAAGACGCACGCGGCAGCCAGCGCATTGTGCACACATCACGATGGATGCGGGGTAGACCGAGCGCGACCGAGTCAGACTCAGAAGGCGTGTCGCCATGAACAAATGAATCTGTCATTTGGTTCCATGCCTCCCGAACGAGACCCCTCGTAGACCGACACCGACCATAATAAAGAGTCGGAAGCCCACCCCGACCTGTCACATTTTGCACTGGAAGCGGTTCCCCATTCGGCCCTCCGACAACGTGCCACCCATCCCGAACTCCGACTCTGCAGCGAAGACAAGAGGGAAAAAAAAAGGAACAAGGCCTGGCACGAGCCGAGCCCAGCAAAAATGCCAATCCTGCATCAGGAGCAGCATAAAGTGACTAAGAAGGTTTTACAGGCGTGAGTTCGGTTCTCTCCCATTGGTACCATATCCTGTCTTCGAGTCCTGCCTCAAGTTGGAGACTCAGGTTTTAAGGCTTGAGTTCATGACACGGATTCCGGCCAATCGTCGCAAAACCGTGTTGATCGATCCATAACCCCACGGATCACCGAGCGGAACTGATGATGCCATCGTTTACAGCTGCGAGCGATGCCGATTGATGAAGGTTAAGTGCTCCGGCACCGAACCTTGCGCCCGATGTACCCGCACGAAAAAGATCTGCCAGTTTGCACCAGAAGCCAAGCGGGTGTCCGTGTCGGAGAGGTTAGTATTTGCTCGACGCACACATTTGCGTTTCTTTGCCTCTTGCTCTTTTTGTCGCTTAGTCTCGCCTGTCCTGGTGCTATGGATCCTGGAACTTACTATGGTTCTCTCGACAGCTACCTCCGAGACTTGCAAAGTAGAAACGGCCAATTGCCGACGCCGAGCCAAGTTCCTACGACCAGCCCTGCAGCAAGGACTATCTCAACTCATTTGAGTGAGAGTCCTAGTCGGACATCTTACACTGACCATTATGTACCACCTCAACGCCATGGTACGTTCCAGCATTGCCTTATCCTGAGCACATGTTGGGGATGTCTTGTGATTGAAGTATCAAAATGGTCTAACCTATGCAGCATCCTCGAGCTATCGCCCCCCAAGTCCCCGGCGGCAGCTCGACAGGCTCACAAGGCATGCTGATGAGCGGCGGCAGCCTGCACGCCAACAAACTCAGTACAATCAGCACCCACACCAGCACAATGACGACCAGCGTCCCGAGCACGAAGATGAAGACAACCACACCCGCGCCTCGTCGCCGACTCATCCAGTGAACCACAATTTTTGGCAGAACCCCCTCGTTGACAATGACTACACTTTCGCCAAGGTCGAGGGCCGATATTGGTACATGGGCCCCTCATCAACCTGGGCCCTCTGCCGCCGCGTCCTCGCCCTCATCGGGAAGCGCATCCCCGAGGGCACATTGGCGCCGGACCCCTGGCATCTCGACGGTAAAGCCTTGCGGCTTCGCTGGCGACCTGTCGCCCTCGACGAGACACCCGATGTCTCCAACCTTCCGCCTCTCGACTACGCCCTGTTTCTTTTCAATACTGTCAAGTTTTACCTAGGCCTCGTCTTCTACATCATCGACGAGCCGACGTTCCTGAGGAACCTGCACGAGTTCTATGAAAACCCTGTCGTCAAGGCTTCAGCGTGTAGGAGCTGGTTTGCGCAGTACTTGTTCGTACTGGCGTACGGCAAGGCCTTCATCGTCAACCAGAGCTCACCCGAGGGCCCGGCTGGGTATCAGTATGCTGTCAGGGCTATGGGCATGCTGCCAGACCTGTCGGGGCTCGACTCTGATCAGATCTCGGGCATTCAGGCGCTGGCCCTCGCCGCTGTGTATTTGCAGTCAGTCGACATGCGGCTTGCCGCGTTTCAGCACGTGAGTCTCTGCACCATGGAAGTTTGGACAACGTTCGCCCGTAGCGTGGCTGACACTACTCTAGATCGGCCAGGCGCTGCGCATCTGCATCATCGAGGGCATGCACCGACACATGCCCGAAGATGTCGTCGGCGAGGCCTACTCGCAGCAGTGCAACGTCGTCTTCTGGGTCGTCTACCAGCTCGACAGGGAGTTCTCAGCCCTGATCGGCGCGCCGAGCTCTATCCGCGACGAGGACATCACCGTCAGGTCGCCGTCCGAAATGTTCTCGTCCATTGACATGCTGAACATGGGGCTGCAAGTGCGGCTTTCGCGGCTCATGGCGCGCATCTTGACCAGTGAGTCGAGGCCTCATCAACTATCTGCCTGTTGAAAATTTTGCTAAGAATATGAAATGCAGCGGTCTACGGCGCCGGCAAGCAGTTTGACGGGTCGCTTGTGAGGAACACGAAGTCGATCCTGAGAGACCTGGCTCAGTTGTCGAAAGACCTGAACCACCACCTCAACACACACTTCCAGGGCACCATCAGCAAAACCTCACGCATCGCCCTTCGTCTCATCCTCTCTTACCACTATGTACGCCCCTCTCCCTGTTTGCTTCATCGCTTGTGCGCGCGGGTTGGAAAAACAAGCATACTGACGCAAACAATAGTGCGTCGTCCTCACGACGCGGCCCCTCGTCATGTGCGCCCTGCACATGCACATTGAGCAAAAAGACACGCCCAACTCGCAAGCCATAGCACTCGCGCCGCCCGTGGCCTCGCTGATGCAGTCATGCGTCGATTCGGCTCAAACGGTGCTGCACACGCTGCGCGTTATTGGCGATGAGGACCTCCTCGAGGCCTTCCTCCCCTTTCAGCTCGAGGATGCCTTCTCCTCCGCCTTCATCCTCTACCTCATCCGCGCCATCACGCCGGCGCTCATCCAGGATAACAACTGGACCGAGAACATACGCAGCGTTCTCGACAAGATGATCTCCAAGGGCAGTATAGTCGCGCCGCTGAGGAAGCTCGAGCTGAGCCAACTTGAGATGGTCACTGCCGTGTTGAGCCCGACTGGAAACGTCGGGGATTTTACCAAGGAGCCCATGGCAGCAGCGGTGGAGCATGATGAGCAGGAGGCGGCGCAGACGCACGACGAGGCGGATGAGGCTGGGTGGGACATGTTCATGGCGGACTGCATGATTGGGCTGTCACCGCGGGAGATGCTCGACCTGGCGGAGCAATTGGGCGCCGAGAGCATGTTCAGCCCGTATGGGCATGTCGATGAGTAGAGTATAATGCAGTAAATTGCTCATCTGCTCAGCCTGTCTGATGCGCTGGAGAGAACGAGATGCTGCTCGAGCAGAACATTCTCTTTTTCTGGCGTTGCGATGTCTCATGATCTGTGAGACTTGTACGTTCACGAGGAAAGAATCTCAAGGAACCCTTGCAGTCTAGTAAAGGCCTAGAAGTCTGGGACCTGGACTCCCACGTCGTGCTTCTCAGCCAGCTCGAGCAGGGCCTTGCCCAGAGCGAGATCCATGATGCCGACGCCAACGCTCTTGTAGACGACTAGTCCATCCTCCAGCTTTTGTGACAGCGTCTCCACTATACGCTGGTCGCCCGCTTGCTGGACATGTACAATCTGACCTATCTCCATGATCCTCTCAGCTGGTACCTCTGCCTCGACAATTTCGCCCGCCTCAAGATAGCAAGCCTCGCGACTGTCGACGACGAGCAACCCACCCAGATCCGTCTCAGTCATGGCTCGCAGAAACGCAGGCGGGATTTCCTTCATGTCGAGCTTGTACGATCCAATGGCCGCAATGTAGCGCTTCTTCGCGCGGCCCTCTCCGGAAGTGAGCCACTCGGCAGGGAAGAGCTCGACCTTGGAAGGCGTTGTACAAAATATGACGTCGGCACCAACGACCGCGTCCTTCAGTTCAGGCGCTTCTGCCGTCGCTTCAGGATCCGCTTCGATGGCAATGAACTGAACGTGATCAGCATATTGGGTTCCTCCTCCCATCTCCTTCAACTGCATGATCATCTCTTCTGCGCGACCTTTCGATCGGTTGACGACGGCGACGCTCTCAATATCAGCACCCCGAAGCAGCAGCGCCAGTCGCAAATGCCAAAGCGCCTGCTTGCCGGCGCCAAAGGCAACGATGCGAGCTGTTCTCCGTCGGCGTTGGTACAGCAGGATCGAGCCGAGGGACGTGCGAAAGGCGGTAAAGGCCTCGGCATTAATGACGCCGACGCCACGGCCCTCGGCGTCACAGATGGTTAGCACGCAGCGCAGGGCCGACGGGGGTCCGCTGGCACCAGCGCCAGCAGATCTGGGAGGAGGTACGCCAACAATCTTGACGGAGAGCCCGTCGGGGGTGGTGGCGGGCATGAAGAGGGACGTTTGGCCGTTAGGCCGAGTGACGGCGGCGCGGTGGGGCTGGTGTTCGGCCTCGTTGTCGCGGGAGTAGGCCCGAAAGGCCTCCCGGAGGACGGCGGACATGTAGGACACATCCTCGGGAGTAAAGGCGTCGAAAAGGGCCTTGACAGCGGCGTCAGAAAGAACAGTGAACATTTCGATGGCCTCGACCAAGGGTTAGGGTTAAAGCTAAGGTGTGATTCGGGCCTTCGGCTCGGCTGTTAGGGTGGCTTGATCTGGAAGCTCGTTGAGAGGAAGGTTTAATCCCAGACACTGCTCTATGGTGGCAGAGCGCGATAAGGATGGTTTGCTTGCACGGAAGAGATGCGCACCGCAACAGCGAGAGGCGAGACAGGGTCACAGAGGGCAAGTCAAAACAGCGCACTCTCGGCACGTCTGCGCTTTCGGAATGGTCTCATGCATGGCGTCGCACGATCTCGTCTGCTAAGCATGCGGATCAACAACATAAACATGCTCACCCACCAATCCACCAACGAACTGTTGAGGAGCCCCAGAACAACAGGCGATGAGGGGTAGGTTCCAATGGTAGTCCGGCAATTGGCAATGTCGTGGGTCTTATGCCCGAGAGACGAAGCTCAACCCTTGTAGCCTTGTGCCTCAGCTGAAGGGTCAATGTCCACGCCCCCTGTCTGCCCCTCGTCTGTGGCATCTCCCGCCATTAGCCGCTTGGCTTGTGAACCTGCAGCAGCTCGTAGAGCGGGGAGTCATTTTGAGACTCGAGGGCCGTTACCGAAACGGCCCATTTCGTCTGCTTTCCTAACACTCTGGCCCAAAGCTCTGTAGACGTATCGACAACGGTCAATTCATCATGAGGACCAGCAGCAGCATCTCACGCAGCCTGGGCGCTCTGCGTCTCCAGGCTGTTCATACGCCCAGAGCACACGCCTCGAGAGCATGGCACAGACAGATGCACGCTGCTGCCGCCGTTGTTGAGGACATCCCTCTGCCGCAAACCCCTCCCCCTTCCTCGGCCGCCACGAGTCACAACACCACCGCAACGACAAAACATGACGCGCAGCGCATCTTCCGCGACGCCCTGGCGGCGACGGAACCCAGGAACACCTGGACGCGGGAGGAGATCTCGGCCATCTACTACCAGCCCCTCATGGACCTCGCCTACCAAGCGGTACGTTTGCCAATGCACCAGCCTTGATTCAACCGCCGACTAACTGACCGTTGCCAGGGCTCTGTCCATCGACGCTTCCACAACCCCGCCGAGGTGCAGCTCTGCACCCTCATGAACATCAAGGTTGGCGGCTGCAGCGAGGACTGCTCGTACTGCGCGCAGTCGACACGATACCAGAAGGAGACCAAGCTCGAGGCCAAGCGTGTCGAGACTGTCGAATCTGTGCTCGCGGCGGCGGCCAAGGCCAAGGCCAACGGCAGCACGCGTTTCTGCATGGGCGCGGCGTGGCGCGACATGCGCGGTCGCAAGAACAGCCTGCGCAACATCAAGTCGATGGTCGAGGGCGTCAAGGGCATGGGCATGGAGGTGTGCGTGACGCTGGGCATGATCGACGCCGAGCAGGCGCGCGAGCTCAAGACGGCCGGCCTGACGGCCTACAACCACAACGTCGACACGAGCCGCGAGTTCTACCCGTCCGTCATCTCGACGCGCACCTACGACGAGCGCCTGCAGACGCTGTCCCACGTGCGCGACGCCGGCATCAGCGTCTGTTCTGGCGGCATTCTCGGCCTCGGCGAGACCTCCGAGGACCGTGTCGGCCTGCTTCACACCGTCTCCACGCTGCCGAGCCACCCTGAGAGCTTCCCCGTCAACGCTCTCGTGCCCATCAAGGGCACGCCTCTCGGTGACCGCGAGCCTGTCAAGTTCACCGCCATGCTGAGGACCATCTCTACCGCCCGCATCCTCATGCCCGCTACCATCATTCGCATCGCTGCTGGCCGCAAGACCATGTCTGAGGAGCAGCAGGCCATGTGTTTCATGGCTGGCGCCAATGCCATCTTCACCGGCGAGAAGATGCTGACCACCGACTGTAACGGCTGGGATGAGGACAACGCCATGTTTGGCCGCTGGGGCCTCGAGCCCATGAAGAGCTTCCAAAAGTCGAAGCAGCCCTCCGCCGATATCGGTATGGCTGCGTGATGGATAGCAGAGCCGTAGATAGAAAAATGCGAATTCGTTTCAATCGTTGAAGCCTGGTCCAGAATGATGTGGTTTCCAAGCATGTGCTTCGCGATGGTGTGTGTCGTCTGTCGCTCCCGGCGAGGTCAATGTATCGATACCGCGGACAGACTTTAGAAGCGATGCATAGATAAGAGTCGCCATACGTCATATTGGAGGCACCCTTCTTGTTGGCGCGCATAGCGACCTTAAGAAATCATTTGAAGATTTCTGGTCTTAAACAAATGCTGGACTGGACGAGCGGATATCGGCCATGCTGGAGGAAACGTTCCGGGGACGGTGCTTGTCTCGCAACGTTGGTATGTCGCCCTTGATTCGCTTGCCTCGTTCAAAGAAGGAGAGGGACCTTAGCAGTCGTTAAATCGTGTTCTGCCGAGCCTTGGGTGAATGTTGAAAGCGGTAAGCTTCTTGTTAAGTGAGCAGGAAAAGATGTCGAACTGGAGCTGCTACCCGCCAAGAGCACCGACATCCGGCGGTCGTGTTGTCTCTGCCAACCAACAGCTACCATCCCAGTCTCCACTGGCACACCACAATTCCTCGTTGTTGAACGAGAGCGAAAATATAGCATAAGTCATGCTTGGTCATTAATGAAGTGATTCATACACCGTAACGCTCACTGGGGTGCCTAGTTCAAATTCATTGCCTGGCAAACTGAGCGGCATAGGCACAAGAACCACGCCAACTTGGCTCCGCCGAAGGACAGCTTACAAAGTCCACACCATTGCTAAACAAAAGCCAGAGAGCCCTTCTTTCAGGTAATCACACCTGAGACGCTCAGTGGAGGCTGGTGTACCCAAGGTGAAGGCGAATTCGCCTCCTCGAATGGCAGAAACGGCTCGTCACATTCCGTGCCCGGACTCGGAAGTGTCCCCTCCTGAAAGTAAGTATTGATATACGATCGTGTACAGTTCGAAGGCGCCGCAAGCGATGTGTGCTAGAATCGTCAACATCGACGTCTGCTCGTTTGCGACCAAGGCCCATACTTACGCCGTACGAGTTCTGCACCAGCACCACGGAGCCCGGGAACCCAGCCGAGTTGTTCCGCGCGCTGATGAGGGCGTCGTGTATCGACATGTTGCTACGTAGAGAATGCGATGCTCGTTTCCCGTGAAGGGACCTGTGATCTATCAGCCTAGTGCTCTGCCATATGTACTCATGCTGCGACTGGAAGACATACCTTAGAAATCGCACTTGGCTTGACCGTTCGCCGAGGCAGACCATAGAATGTAATGCATTGACAGCCCGCTCGCAGGGCTTATTTCGAGCACGCGGTTCGCTTCCTCTAGGATCTGGTCCATTGTAGCGTTGTGTCCCATGAAGATTGCGATCCGCGCATCTCACTGCTGGAAAAGGTATCAGACGTCCCCTCCGTAACATCCGGCAGCGGCTCAAAGGGAGAGACTGCGCGCCAGCGCATATCGGGGCCGAAGAGGGCTTTTCCGGCTGATAGTGCTTATAGAATGGTCGCGCGTCGCCCTTCTCGAGAGCCGCGGCGATGCGTGCAAAGTCGGCAAACTGCGCCTGGGGCTGGTACAGCGCCGAGAAGAGGAGACGCTTGAGCTCCGACCACGTCACCAGCTCGGGACGGCAGGACCCTCGTCGCTGGGCGAGATGATGACGGGGTGTTGCTTGACGGCCGCGAAGAGACGGTCGAGCCGTTCCTTGATGCCCTGCGGCGTGTCCTCGTAGAACGCACACTTGGCGGGCCCCGCCTGGTGACAGGAGTCGTAAAAGGCCTCGACGACCTTTTCCGTGTCGTGCACAAAGTTGAGGTGCTTCGTGTTGAACCACTCTTCGTAGTCCACGTTGCCGTCGCTGACCAGCCTCTCTACGCGGTCAGGGTACATGGCAGCGAAAACGCCACCGATAATGGTTCCGTAGCTGAAACCCCAATACCTGAGATTGTCGTGGGATCCCTGGTTCACAATCTCGAGCAGGTCCCGGGCGGCAGAGACGGAGCCAGAATGTCGCAGAAGTTCCGAGTCGTTCATGGCGCGCTCGCAGGCCTGGGAGTAGGCAGTCGCACGAACATAGAGATCTGAAATGATGCCGGCATGAGAGTCAAAGACGCCGGGGTCGCGGAGATTCCATGACTTTTCTTGCTCGGGAGTTTCCCAGCATTGGTGGCGGGGTGTGGATGCGCCAACTGACAATGTTAGGTCCCCTGGAATTGAGCAAAAATTGGAACATGGATTTGACTGACCACCGCGAGGATCGTAGCTGATGATGTCCTGCGCATTTCAGCATGGATGTGTGAAAATACTGGAAGGGTACGATGCATTTGAGGCCACTTACATGATTCTCGCCAACAATCTGTTGAAGCAGTTTGCCGTGGTTCCGCAATGACCACACTCCTGAACCGCCAGGACCCTTGTGCGGTCAGCCATGGAGAGGTGATTAGATGGGCTCCCAACTTACACCAGGATTAAAGATGACGGGCCCTCGGTAATCAGTATGATCCGTGGCACGTATTCGAGCAATCGCCAACACAACCCTCCGCTCACTTCGAGGGTCTTGCCAGTCCATCGGCACCTTCACCAGATCAGCAGCCTAATAGCTAGCTGTCGATTAAGGAGAGCAGGATACTCACGTCCAATCTGGCGCAGTCATGCTGCCCATCTTCGAAGCAGGCATGCCATTCTAGCGTCCGGCTCGGCTCGATCTGACAACGGCATCAATCACAAGGGACAGCATACAGTGGAGGCACAAACTCACGTCCGACCAACTCCACCCAGAAGGTCGTGGGCCTGGGGAAACAGGGGAACCAGTACCACCCAGAGGGGCTACTACCAAGCACAAAGGACTCCGCTGACCGCAGAATAGCACTAAGGCCGCAACCGACGCGATGGCCAGAACGGCGCCGACCCGCTGGTTACCCCATCGCTTTGGGCCAGGCTTGTCGCGCGGGCTTCGCGTCGTCGGGAGAGGCGCGCACTTATCGCTCATTGCAACGTTAGATATCGGCGAGGAGCCATACAGCTTCGTTTGTTGGAGGCACGAAAGCAAGAAGCAGATGAGGAGAAGAATCCAGGGTCTGATCTGGGCATGATGCCTCGCTCAGCGAGCACGGGACACTCGTTGAACAAGATCGGCAGAGCACGGTTCGTTTGGGATTAGCGCTGCAGCAGGTGGTAGACCCCTATCATTGGCGCAAGCCAGACATATCCACGGTGTTGGGGGGGCCCTGAACGCTGCGAGCTGGGAGCTGAACACCCAGGCGGGTGAGGCTTGCAGCGAGGTTCAGGAGATAAAGGCGAGATCTACTTCGACCTCAGATCTGCGCTCGATCGGCTGTGGTTAACCTCCATAGCAGCCAAGCTCATAATACGGCGCCAACCCCCCATTCTAGGCCCTGTGTGAGGATGTGATGGGAAGTGATCGAGCATAGACAGAAGATAAGGGACAATTAAAGATAACGTATCTGGTCGATCTATCAGTCCCCTTCACCACCTCAACAGGTCTGAGACAGTCAATCAGGGTGATGGAACAGCGGTGATGATAAGGCTCCTCTAATCAGGACACAGCATGCACAGCTGTCGCAGGTGAGGCGGATCAGCGAACAAATGATTGGCCACTTTGACGAGCCTAGATGTTGGCAGACCTAGAACAAGGCTTCGTGCCTACATTCGTGTGTCGGACACATGACCATGAAGCCGAGAGTGAAGTACCAGGCGCGAAGCTGGACTCGTCACGTCACGTAACTGATCAGAGAGCAAGAAGCTTGATAGCGCAAAACCTTGGCGTTACCACCTGGACTCTGAGCCTGCATGCAGCCCTACGCTACCAGGTTTCGGGCTAAGGATTCCTTCGACTTGGCGGGTGAAGATAAGGTCGATCTCTAGTACGTCTTGGGCATCTGAATGAATGGCTAGGAAAGCCGTGTTCGCCATTCGGACAGTCGTTCGCAGTGGTAGGAAGCTACACGGAGTGCCATTCCGAGCCAGCGTGGTCAATAGGGGTTCTGCAGCAGTCGCGAATAATTAAAACAGGGCTGACGCCGCATTCTTCGTCATCCAAGGTGGTCTCGTCATGGCGTCACTCTTATCTTCGCTGGCCAAGTGCTTGACAGCTAAAATGTAGTATTGCCACCTCCACAGGGTGGCCGGACGAGAATGTCCTACGATTGGAGCTCGCGGCCTTTGGACTGAGGGCCCTGGGTTGTCTAAAATGGGGAAAGACAAACAATTAAGTAAACTCTGGGGAAAGGTCGGAGGCGCACACGCCCTAGCATTCCGATCCCGATGCCTCCACCCAGCTCGGCACTTTTTTCGAGGTCACGATGCCTCCAATTTTGGATTCTGCTCCAGAACCTGCCGCGACAAAGCGCATCATCCCGAATGCCAAAGTAGTCTCAGGAAGGGAAGGTCCGCAAATCCCGGCCTCTCCATGGATGGCATTGCCGGGGACCTGGCCAGATAGGCAGCTAGAATCATGCAGATGCCGCTGACATGACGCTTCCAAGTGTCGCCTCCCTCATTCAGGCAGACATCCCCAGCCCCCAGCCGAAAACGGCGACCGGGAGATCGCATGCCAGGGGGCGGATAGACAGCTTGAGGCGCAGAACTTGGGGCCAAACAGGGGCCTCTGAGGGCGGCATTGGGACATTCGTACCACGTGGTGGGTGTCACAAGACCAAGCAATGCAGCAGATCCAGCACTCTCTGAGTCTGAGCCTCCCTCGCCTTCGGCCGCGCATCGGTTCCCGACGCAGGGTCCCTGCAGCGCTGTCTCAGCGCGGCGTTACGTGTGGTCGGAAGTGTGCTCCGATCGGAGCTTATCAAGCCCACTACATATGGGTCGTAAGAGTCGGGACGTTGATCCGACTATCGCTCTGTCCTGGTATCGGCTCCCATCGGTGCGATCGTGACGGCCACCCGCCGCCATTTGTTTGTGTGACAAGCACAAACGAAACAACGAGACTGAGACCGTCTTATCTTTCAGTTCCGAAAAGGCTAACGAATTTGACGTGACCATGATGCCTCCACCCGTGCTATATAGAAGACCCCTTGGGCGCCCACCCTCCTCCACCATTATGCTCCCGTCATAACCACACCAAACCTGTCACACACAACATGTCTTCGCTATATGTTGCACCAAGGCGCCTCGGCGCTCCCCTATCAAGGGCATTCAACAAGAATGAGCCTAGGAGATTCATCAGCAACATGCTCAACACACCAGAGTCCCACCACGCGTTGATGAGCGCGCCACCAGCCGCCGAACCACCGGCGCTTTCACGCATGCCCACAACGACTCTCATCCGCTCTCTCCTCCTCACATCCTGCATGTCCTCGGAATGGATCATGCGCCCATCACTAGCCATCATGAATCTCATCGTCAAATCTAAATCACCACTACTTAACCCCGACAAGAACCCTATCCTCAACAAGATCTTGCGATGGACCATCTACGACCAGTTCTGTGCTGGCACGAACCGCCAAGAGGTCGCGCGATCAGTCGCCGAGTTCAAGAAGTTTGGGTACCAGGGAATCATCTTGAACCACGCCAAGGAGATCGTCCTCAGTGCCGATGCTGCCAAGGCAATCGAAGCCGAAGGCGAGAAGCAGTACGCGCCGGAGTGCTATGAGATGATCACCAAGTGGAAGGAGGGCACCCTCTCCACCCTGCCAATGCTCGAAAAGGGAGATTTCCTCGCTCTCAAGTAAGTTCTTTCCCATTGCTATGTCGCCGAGAAAAGACTACTAACATCATTGCAGACTCACTGGTGCCGGCCCCATCGCTGTGGACGCTCTCCGCGCCCAGAAGCCCATCCCCGCCGCCATTCAATCCGCCCTTGACGAGATCTGCCACGCCACTGCCGCCCAGGGCTCGCACCTCTGGATCGACGCCGAGCAACAGGTTCTCCAACCAGGCGTCGACGAGTGGACCATCGCCCTGATGCGCAAGCACAATGCCGGTCTCTCCGCACCGCTCGTCTTCAACACGATCCAGGCTTACCTCAAGGCGTCCAAGGCCAACACGGACCGTCACATCCGGCTCGCCGCGGCTGAAGGCTGGGCTGTCGGCATCAAGCTCGTGCGCGGCGCCTACATCGAGCACGAGACGCGCTCCCTGATCCACGACACCAAGGAGGAGACCGACGCCATGTTCGACGACATTGCCGACATGCTCCTGACGCAGCGCATGCCCGACGGCTGCGCCCCAGACGCCAAGTTCCCCGCCGCCGCGCTGTTCCTGGCCACGCACAACGGGCCGAGCACCATGCTCGCCCTCAAGACGCAGATGAAGAGGGTGCGCGCCGGCCTGCCGACGGCGCGCCTTGAGTGCGGCCAGCTCGTCGGCATGGCGGACGAGCTGAGCTGCGAGCTCGTGCAGAACTACGAGAAGTGCACGCGCGAGGGCACAATGAGTGCCGCCGAGGTGCCCAAGGCGTTCAAGTACATGGCCTGGGGGTCCGTGTCCGAGTGCCTGGGCTACCTGCACCGCCGGGCCATCGAGAACAAGGGTGCTGTCGAGAGGACACATCAGATGGTGGATGCGCTGCGTAAGGAGCTGTGGCGCCGGGTCGTTGGTTAAAGATACATTTGGACGGAGTACGGCTACTACAAGACCTTAGACGGATGACGTTTGCATGTTGAAAACTACAATGGGAACCGGGAGGGGAAATGGAGGAGTTAGCGAGCGTTGATACCAAGATGAATATGATCCGAGGCCTACTGCCTCGATGAATGACGTTACCTACAAGGCCAGAGCCGCATCAATCCTTCTGCGTGTCCTGTCATGCATGGTTCGCGGAGCATCTGTTACGGTTTTCCCCAGTCTTTCCCCAGTTTTCGATAAACCTGTCAATCGGTCGCCTCAGCCGACCATCCATTTCGGTGCCCAGAAGCTGAGGCTGGGTGACAGCCAGCAATCTCGATGCCGATGTGAGACTGGGTTTGTAACGGGATACATACCAGGGACTTCGGGATGATGTCAGTTATGATGGCTTAAACATATTGAGTGAAACAAAACTATTGTCTTGTGCGCTTGAGGTGCCCTCGTCATTCAAATTACCAGAAGACATCCATGTAACCGCTCAATCCAACCCAAAGATAGATACTGATGTACATCATTAGATCACATGATGGTGCGGGGGTCCATAACGATATCCTAGTTGCGTGAGCTTTATGAAGCATTCAGCATTGGCTGTTCAGCCAGAGTACCTACCAGCATTACGATAATCAAGCTTCTCGAATTGGCTGCCAAGAATTGTGATCTCATCCAGCAGACCATCTTTCTCAAATACTTGTAAGGTCGTGGTCTTTGCTTCCCATTCGTCCAGACATTGTTGCTACACCAGTCAGTATCATCGTAGTCCTCACGAGACCACAGCCGGGGATCCTCACCACCCAATTGAACATTCGCGTGTGATGCCTCACGCGTGCGACAGTCTGCCTGATACACACCTTCCGTCGTTCGTCTTCCGTAGAAGGCTCGATAAGGAGTGCGTGACTAAGAACGACGGAAGCAAGGGTCAAAATTTGCCCAGCCATGTAGTTGTGTATATCAAAATCCCCTTGCCTCCAGGCATACTCCACAATATCCGCAGTCGCTCGAGCGTGGGCGTGGCATTCGTGCCCGAGATTGGAAAAGTAGAGCAATCGGCCGATATGATGGTATAATATGTGCATGTGCAAGAAACTGCGGAGGCTATCTTTTTGTTGATGATATTCGAGATTTGTGGTGGTGTACTGTTGAAGTGGCTCATCGGCCCACCGATTCCTAAAGCTGGTCCTGAGCTCGGCCAAGTTACTGTTCTGTCTCGATACTTCAACAAGAAGCTCGGACAGATTGACAATCTCTTGGCTGACTGAAGTCTTGCGGCAAAGCATAATCGGCTCCCTTCTCTTGAGCGCCCAAAAGTCGTCGTCCGCCATCATTGTGGGTATTCTCTCTATTAGGTGCGGTGGGAAGCGTAATATGAGCGACACAAACCGATCCATGAGGGCAACGGTCGATGCCAGTCGGCGGCTGCACTCAAGACGGACTGGGTCAATTTCTGCACTTGTGTCTAGCAAGCGAAGGACTTTGACCATGTTCGCAGCGAAGCCTGGCCTTTCGTCAGCCCAGTCAACAGGATAGAGTACTTCCAAACCCACCAAGATAGAGAAACGCCTGTCGTGCCCCGCCGTACACCAGTTTGTATGTTGCAAGCAGCACATATGCCTGCGCCACGGCGATAGAGGGCCGGTCCCACTCCTCCTGGACAAGGCTCCTCGCGTGTTCGAACAAGATTTCGCCCCGGTGGGCCGGCGACAGTGCCTCGCGGAATGGCGCCACAGAGAATCGAATGCTCAGCGCCATCATGGCGAAAAGCACCATTTCCGAGACCTCTCTCAGGGCATAGCGGCGTAGGAACACCTCTTCGTCGAAGAGAAAGTGGACGTCGCCAAAGTTGCTAAAGTAGAGAAGCAGGAGGGACTGTGCAAATTGAGCTTCGCGCAGTATCTCCTCTGGTCTGCCGCGGCCAATGTCCAGTCCAACCGTCTCGTGCTGAAGGGCGTAGCACGACTGAGGCGATGCCGACGAGGGGGAGGGATAGTGTTGCGGCGCGTGGACGTACGAGCATGCTGTGTTGCGGGACGTGCATCTCTTACACTTGTCGCCGGGGCGCTGTGAGAGGCATCTCACTTTGCTCAGGCTGATCAGGGTTAGAATCCAGTATCGTGTTGACGTCGATCGTCGACCACCTACCGGCACGATGTACAAGCGTTTCGAGGCATGATTGAGGTTGAGGTTGGCCGCGAGTCATGCAGACTGTAGCACACGACATAAAGCTCCATTTTGGTCGATGGTGATATCGGAGCTTAGGATCACGCCAACCTGGATTACGGATTGATTGCAACCACGCCCCAATTCTGCATTTCGTCTGCTTTGGTATAAGTCTCGTCCGACTAGCTAGCTAGCTAGCCCTTCTTGATATCCTGCAGGCCGTTGTTGTACCGCGTCTTCTCCGCATCGACGAGAAGGGGCCCATCGAATACCTCAGCAATGGTCTCGAGACTGCGCCCTGACGTCTCGGGGAAGAAAAGGTCCACGCACGCCACCGAAAGACCAGGATGTCTGATACAGCGAGGTGATGACCTGCAAGTCCTTTGAGCTAGCGAGTTCTCCAATCAACATTGGTGCGTACGTGTTGGCAAAAACTAGCCCGAAGCCGATGATGAAGCGTGACACCACGAACATTGCGACTGCTCTCGTTAGTGAAAGGATTAAGGCGCTGACGACGAGGCTCACTATTGATAGAAGCACCTTGGATTACACCTCCAACTAACATGATGACAGCGCCAAAGAAGATGCCAAAATGACGACCCCAGCGGTTACCGACGAAACTAATGAAGGGCGTTGCGACTATGCAACCAAGTCCGATAACAGCATTGAGAAGTCCAAGGATGGTGCCGCGTGGCTTGTCAAAATCTGGCCAGTGGCCAGTCCCCTGTCTGTCATTTCGGTCCCTTTGGGCGCCACCTACATTCATCCCATGCGGGTACAGCTTGGAGACCGTTTATAATGGCGGTGTTAAACCCGAGAGTCACAGCAGGCATCAGACATCCTGGAATGATGAGCATATAGAGGATCAAGAGACTGTGGCTCTTGTAGAAGGGCGGCGTCTCTTTGGCGAGTCGCGTGAGCTGCTGGTCGATGGTCTCAATCGTCTCAGCGACGACAATGTCGGAGACAGCCTTCTCCTTGTCATTTTCCTGGAGGGCCATGGTGTTGGCGTGCGGCGTTCGACTTGGAAATGCCGTTTCTGAGGCAGGCAGATATAGGTCGAGAGCTGAAAGGCAGCCAACCCAGCCTGGGAGGATTGATGGAAGATCTCCTGTGCAACTCGACCGGATTATTGTTTTATCATATAAACCTCTCGAGTCGCTGTTGGCTGAGGTAACTCACGATCAGCACGTCATGTCAAATGTTACGTCGTGATGCCATTCAATGGCGACGTTGCCGGCATCTCGTTGTGGTCCAAGAGCCTCACGAAGTACTTCAAAGAGACTCCATAGATCATTGGTACCTCGACTTGCCAAACTCCGGGGCTTCTCCGTCAGCCCGAGCGGACTGGAGAGTTGCCCGGCGGTCAGCAGACGGCCAATGTGAGAGTGCCCGCGCCAACGAGCCTCCGAAGTGTCGGCGCCATGCCAATCAGACACAGTCCCGATCGAGGGAGTTTCGGCGACTGTCAGACCGACCTCGGAGGATGTGAATTTCATCATCAATAGCTTGTCATTGAAGTCGTTCTGTATCAGTGACATAGTTATGTTTAAGATATATTCGTCGAATACAAAAGTCTCGGATCAGTAGTAACAGGGGTTGCTCTGTGAGAAAAGCACCCAGAGGTAAACTCTCCGATATGGCTGCCGACTCAGCTTCAATCGTTGCGAACTCATTCTCAAGGAAAAGATAGCCCTATTGGGTAAAGTAAACTGGTGGCGCACAGGTACAGTCGATAGAGACGGTGTTTTTATGCCTTACATCAAGGCATGTACGCGATCGGCTTGCCAGAGAACAACTGCTGATCCCCGTCAGTTCACGGATGGCCCAGGTGGCACTCGCGGCGAGAGTTACATCTACGGCATCAAGGCAGCACGTTTCCCATGTGGCACTTGTCTAGGAGGCACGTTCGACACGGCAGTTCTCGAGAAAGTGGGCGCCGCCATAGCCAAGGAAGTTCATACCAAGTCTGCCCATGCCCTCGGCTCTACGCTCAATGTCATCCGTTTACCTCTCGGTGGGCGCAACTATGAGACGTATAGCGAGGACTCCCTGCTTCTGGGACACCTTGCGGCGGCATACGTTCGCGGGTGACAGGCTGAAGGTACCGTGGGTGCGACACCAAAACACTTTGTCGCCAACGATGCCGAAAACCAGCGGACAAAGTTGAGATTTGAGGTAGACGAGCAGACCCTGCGAGAAATCTACCTGAAGCCGTTCCAGCTAGTCCAGAAGCCTTCGGAGCCATGGGCTTTCATGACAAGGTGTGTTGGCCTCCGCCAAGAACCTGCCTGGATACGACTGACCCTGACACAGCTACAACCGAGTTTAAGGCACATATGTTGCCGACTCGTCTCGATCAGTATATGGTGTTCTTCGAGATGAATAGGGCTTCAAGGCCCTCCTCATCTCGGACTGAATGGGCACGTACTCGGTCGGCCTAGGCATTGAGGCCGGCGTCGACATTGAGCTGCCAGGTCCTCCCAGATGGAGGATCTACGAATCTGTTTCCAAGATTGTGAAGGACGGCTCACTATCAGAGAAGATGTCATTGACAAAAGTGCTATCAGGGTGCTCGATTTGGCCCGCCGTCTTGGGCGCTTTGAGAACCCTGAAGAACCGCCGAAGCGCGCGGTTGAAGATGCCGCCAGAGAAGGGTTCATCAAAGAATCCGGGGCAGACGGTATCACTCTGCTGAAGAACCAAGGTGATGTTTTACCCATCAAAAGGGGATCCACGGTAGCCCTGGTCGGCCAGCACTCGTGGTCTGTCGTGCTCGGCGGCGGCGGCAGCGCACGCGTTGATGCACTGCACGCGATATCACCTATCCAGGGCTTCCGGAATCTTGGTTTCACGAACCTCGAGGCCCGCGGCGTTCCTGTATTCGGAGCTGTCCCTCACGCCGACCCGAGCATCGTCTTCCCTCGCGACCGCAAGACTGGCTCGTCGAGGCCAGTGAAACTGGAATGGCCCAACGGACCCATCGTCGGCACGAATCTCGCCCACAAAGGGACCATTCCGCAAGCCGAGTACATGACCAAGGAAAAGCGGCCCGAATATCTTGACGAAGACTTCTCAACGCGCATCACGTTTGACCTGGTAGCGCCCTCGACCGGCGACCACATCTTCTCTGTCATCAGCACCAGCCGCGCAAAGCTCTAAATTGAAGGCGAGCTCGTGTTCGACCGTCGACAGAAGACCACACTGCGCCCAATATCCTTCTACTTCTTCAAGCGGCACCTCGAAAAGCGGGTGCACCAGCGGCTCGAAAAGGGGCGCCGGTACGGCATCACGCTCGAGTCCTGGGCGTGTGACCCTGCCATCCTCAACGCAGGACCAATCTTCGGCAAAATGTTTCAAGGCAGCGCCGTGCGGTTCCATGAGGCAATCGACGTGGCCGCGCGCCGGGCCGAAGCCGCCGAGGCCGCGGCGGCGGCCGACTACGCCGTCGTCTGCGTCGGCACGACCAACGAGACCGAGACGGAGGGGTTCGACCGCGACACGCTGGCGGCGCAGTACGACCTCGTCGAGGCCGTGGCGCGCGCGAACTCCGCGGCGCACCGTCGTCGTCAACTTTTCCGGCACGCCCGCGGCGCTCGGCCGCCGTCGTGCAGGCGTGGTTCCCGGGGCAGGAGACGGAGCATGCGCTGGAGGCGGTGCTCGCGGGCGTCGTCAACCCCAGTGGCAGGCTGCCGCTGTCGTGGCCGCGGCGTGTAGAGGACGGGTCTTCGTTTGAGAACTTCCCTGCCGGAGAGAACAGCCTGCTGCGGTACGACGAGAGGTTGGATGTCGGGTGTCGACGGCATAATCGCCCCGGGAACCCGGCGGCTCTCTTCCCCTTTGATTTCGGGCTGTCGTATACGACGTTTGCCGTGACCGGTGCTGCCGTTTTGGGTTCTAGTGCCTTGAAGAGTGCCAACGACTCGATTCGTGTGTCCGCTGAGGTTGTGAATGCTGGGTCTAGGAGAGGCAAGGTTGTCGTGCAGTTCTACGTGGCGTTCCCAGAGGGGGCTGGTACCCCTGGTCGCCAGAGGCCCGTGAAGGAGCTGCAGGCATTCACCAAGGTTGACATCGAAGCAGGGCAAACTGCACAGACAACAGTACAGTCCGGCAAGTTCGCCGTAAGTGTCTATGATGAGGCGAAGGCTCGCTGGGTAACGCCAGACGGCGAGTATCGAATGCTCGTGGGTTTGTCGAGTGTCGACATTCAACAGACGGCGTCTTTTTCTGTGTCCAAGTCGTTTACTTGGACAAGCGTGTAACATCGCACACATCAATCATCTCACGAGCACATAAGATAGTCTTGGCTTTGAGATTATGCATTTTATTTGACCTGTGTGGTTTCGTCTGCCTCATCATCGAGCACTGCGCTCACCATGACGGCAGACCTCGAGTGGAGGCCGGCCTTAACCCCACCCAAGATGGATCGCCCCCTCTCCCCTCGCCCTCGACTTTTCAATGGCAGTCTTGACATCATCTTTCACTTGTGACGCTTACATGGTCCTCCTCTCGACAATGGCCTCGCCAACAGGCTTGCCCTCTACGAAACCGCCGCCTCGGCCGCCAAACTCAAAGACCTTTTGTCCACGCACCCACGTCTCCCGGACGCGGCCGCCAAACTGCTTGCCCTCCCACGGCGAGCACCGGTTGCGCCAGCGCATGTCGCCGCTCCGCAGCGTCCACGCCTCGCGGTCGTCAAAGACGCATACGTCGGCGTCGAGACCGACCCGGAGGCCGCCCTTGCGGTGGCTGAGACCGACCTGCGCGGCCGTCGCCTGACTGCACAGCCGTGCGACGTCGACGAGTGTCAGGCCGCCCTTGCCCAGCGATGCCCGCGTCGCGGCTCGGCGTGGAGAATGGGCAGACCAAGACCGACGGAGCTGATGTCCGCCCCAGGCGGCGAAGAAGTCGCCGCTCGACACGTCCTCTGTGCTGACGCCGGGACTGGGCGCAGCCGTCACGGGCTTGGGGAGAGTGGCCTCCTCGTCATCAAGGGCCGACTTGACGTCGACACCTGAATCGGAGAGGGACATGGGTGGGGCCTCGAAGGATGGCGGCGCCGCGAGATGACCTGGCAGTAGCTTGAGTTGGGGCGTGCAGGGCGAGTGGTCCGAGACAACGGTACGGATGCATGAGTCCTCGGCCAGCAACTCCTCCCACAGCAGATCGCGGTTCGAGTCTTCGCGAATCGGGGGGCAGCACTTGTGGCGCGTGTCGCCGTCCTCGATCGACTCGGCGGCGAGCCCAAGGTAGTGGAAGCACGTCTCAGCAGTGATCTTGACGCCAGCCTGGCGCGCGCTCTTGAGAGCGGGGATGGCCTGGGCCGCCGATAGGTGGACAATGTGCAGGTGCAGGTCGGGGGCGATGTGGGCAAGAGACAAGATCTGGTCAATGGCGTACGTCTCGAAAGAGGGTGGGCGGGAGGCAAGGAACGTGTCGTAAGCCGTGAGCTCGCCGACGGGGGCCAGCGGCGGCTGCGACTGCTGGACGGCGTCACCGACCGAGTCGGCAATGGGAGGGATCATTTCGGCGTGGAACATGAGCGTCGTAGGCGTGCCCTTGAGGGTCTCCATGGCGAGAGCAACATCGCCAGACGAAACGGCAGGGAACTCGTCGACCTGTATTCAGTCAGTTGCGTGCCTTCTCGACTGGTTTGTGGTCAAACATACGCCAGACTCGATGAGGAAGCCCTTGAAGCCGCGCACACCTGCTTCGACGAGAGGCAGGAGGTCGGCGGCGTTTCCGGGGATGACGCCGCCGTAAAAGCCGACATCAACCCAGCACTGGCCTTCGCTCGCCGCCAGCTTCTCCTTGAAGCCAGCGAGCGTCGTGGTGGGGGGAATAGCGTTCAGGGGCATGTCGATGACAGTGGTGACGCCACCCGAAGCAGCAGCGCGTGTGCCGGTCCAGAAACCCTCCCACTCGGTGCGACCCGGCTCGTTGAGGTGGACGTGAGCGTCGACAAGACCAGGTAAGAGGACCTTGTCGCCGTGGTCAACGTAGGTTGTGGAGGCGGGAAAGGACGAGGCGGGGAGGACCTCGTGGACAATGTCGACAATCCTGCCGGTGGAAGGCGACAGAGTAATGGTCGCTGGCGTGAGAACGAGGGAATCGTCGGGCAGAGTGATGACGGCGCGCGTCGAGGCGAGGACGACAAGGCCCTCGGCCGAGGAAGAGTCAGAGACAGCCATGGCGAGGAGTGTCTCTGGGGAGGTCTTTCAGGAGGTCTCCGAATAGGGTCTCTGTCGATCTGCAAGACGAGTGTCGTGTGGTTGAAGCACCGCCTTTCCTTGCCTGGGGGACGGCGTGACGGACAGAGCAAGAGGATGCCAACGGGGATAAAAAAAATTAAAAAGCGAGAGGGAGAGAAAAAGGGCTGTCAAGGTCGCGAGCTCGGAAAGAAGTTGAGTTGGCGGCGCAACAAGCTCTTATCTGGGACGAGATGGTGGGGGAGGGGTGAGGAATCGGGTGAGATAAGGGTGGGATCGGAATCAAAACTCGATGCGAAAGGTGCTGGCTGCGTCGTGTCTGCGGGTGGGCAGTCGGAGAAGGGGGGCGTGTCCGGGGAATCCTTGCTCGGAGACTCTAACGGCTTCTAGAAAGTGCGTTGTTCTCGTCTTGCTTCTGTGTCTTTTTAGTGTCCTGTGTTTCCTTCGGTGGTTCGGGGAGAGGAGGAGAATGGACACAGCCTGGCCAAAACGACAGGGTTTAGGCAAACTGACAGACAGCTTGAGCGTCCTGGAAGCGGCATGTGAGCTGGCCAGGCCAATACTCGAGATCATCGCAACGGCATCGCCTCGCCTCGTCCATGGCGGGTTGGCCTTCGGCGCTGGTGGGGTGCAGTGACAGACGCCCGAACGCGAAGCAGAAGCACATGCATGAGACGAGCCGGAGGGGTGTGGAGGTAGTCGACTGATGGGAGAGACACAGAGAGGGCGACCCTGAATCCCCTCAGTCCGGGCCCCTGCCCGTCGTACTGTACTACAGTACCGTCTCGTTAGTACCTGCCCATGCTGTCCGCCCGTGCCTGCCCATGCTGTCCGCCGTGCCTGCCCATCATGCTGCCCCTTCCATACCAGAAGCCGAGATCCCTTATCATGCCCCCCCGATTGGTCAATAGCCCCAGCGCACCAATCAGACGCCGTTCCAATAAACCGCAATCCCTCGACAAGCGCAACGCCGGCCCTTCCTCGTCAAGGTCCTCCCGCCAGCGCCTTACCTCAGCAATTGGCCCGCGTGTTTCCATCGAGTAATCATCGAGTAAAGTCGGATCGGTGCGCCTGTCCATTGGTCGACGTCGTTGTCACGGCGTCTGATTCTTTGCGCAAAACTGATGAGACCAGAGGCAATCTGGTGAGACCAGAGGCAACCTAGCGGGAAAGAGGGTTCTGCGCCGATGTTGCCCAGAGTGTCTAGCCACGCTGAGAAGGGCGAGCCAGGGCGGGGTCCCATTCTCATGAACCGCCGCGACCACGAATCGAGGCTTTTCCTGTGGTCATCGTCGAGCAACACACCATCGAGTCACAACCCAGGCCGCGCGAATCGGACATGTTCGGCGTCACCATCGACAGGACCAGCATGGTCCTGTGCGCCTGTTTTCACCTCGTTCCTCGACGGTTCTTTTCTGACAATTGCCCTTTTGATTCTCCCACAGCAGATGGACGCCATCTTCCAGACGTCGTCACCCTGCCCTGCTCCCGTCTTCGTCACGAGCCAGCAGCCGCGGAGATGCCATCGCAGCCTATTTCAGGGTCCCCTCCCATCGCTGTGACAAGCTTTGGCCCGTTCCTCATCGCGCATCGTGCGTTTCTGCCCCGCCCCTCCCCCCTTGGGTAAGGTACCTAAGGTACCCGACCAGACACCTGTCGGCCGCCGGGCCCTGCGCACGTCCACACGCCTTGTTCGTCACGTAATGGGAACCCCAAACCCGCTCCCTCGGCCGGCGCGCTCGAGAGCGGAGCCCGGATGTCGCCGCACCACCGGCGATGGCCGACGCACGCCCCTCGGGAAGAGGGAAGGGGAAGGGCGGTGTATCGTTCTAGCCGTGCACGCTCCTTCTGCCCGATACCTTACCTAAGTTAGGTACCTTGGGTGCGTTTTTTATTAGCTTGGTACGTTCATTACCTAGGTACGTGTAGTGTGCATCGTCCATTGCACGTCGATGCGAACATCACGACGCACGACACCGAGCCACAGACGGTTCGACCAGAACATAAATGGTATTGAGCTGCAAAGCACACCATCCAACACCGCTTTTGCCTACCCTGTAACCCCTGCCGCCGTCTATCGTTTGCGCCAAGAGTTGTTCGCGCGCGGTCCCTCCTCATTTCCTCTGCTGTAGCCCGAACAAAAAAACGGAAAAGCGTCTTGGTGGTGTGCTGTGTATATGTCGGTGTTGTGCAGATGGTAGTCGCATGGCGGTTGTCCTCCTTCGCCTCTGCCCGCCGCCCCTTTCCTTCACATATTTTGTACAAAAAGATGCTGCTGCTGCTGTTGATCGCCCACAACCATGGCGTTGACCCCGCCTCTCTTCCGTCCGCGACGTTACTTTTGTCGTTGCAGCGCCTTCATGGCCATCTCGATGAGGCCGTCCTTGGCCTCGCTGTCGGGGAATCCGCTGATCGCCTCAATCGCCTTCTCCGAGTACTCTTGCGCGAGAGCGCGCGTCTGCTCAATGCCGTTGCTCTGCAGCACCAGCTCGCGGGCCTATGGACCGTGTCAGCTTCACCTCCCATCACGGGTTTGCACATAAGAAAAAAGAAGAAGAAAAGTGACGTACCCTCGCAACATCGCCCTCCCCCTCAAACTTGCGCCCAACTAGCGCACCCAGCTCCGGATTCGCCTTCCACGCGTACAGCAGCGGCGCCGTCGCGAGGCCGAGCTCCAGATCCGCGCCCGCCGGCTTGCCGAGATCCTTCTCGCTTCTTGTGTAGTCGAGCATGTCGTCGACGAGCTGGAACGCCAGGCCCAGGTTCTTGCCGTACGCGTAGGCCGCCTCAACAGTCGCCGCGTCGGCGTTGCCGAGGAGAGCCGACGCGCGGCACGACTTGGAGATCAAGCTCGCCGTCTTGAGGTACGTCTTGCGCAGGTAGTAGTCGACGGCCTCCTGCGACCAGGCCGGGTTGCGCTCGTCTTGCGCCGTGTTCTTCAGCTGCATAAACTCGCCCTCGACGAGGTTCGCGATGACGGTGGCCAGGAGTTCGATGACCTCGGCGTCGCGCAGGCGGGCGAGAGCAACGGACGCACGACCGAGGAGAAAGTCGCCCGCCAAAACGGCCATTTTATTGCTGAACTCGAGGTTGGCAGAGGGGGACCCGCGGCGTGACACGGAGTGGTCGATCACGTCGTCACGCAGGAGGGACGACGTGTGGATGAGCTCCGTGATCTCGGCAAGCCGGCGCTGCGACGGCAGAATGTCCGAGTTGGATTGCTGAGGGTCCAGCGGCGGGCCGGTGAAGGGCGAAGTCGGGTTCACGTCGGAGAGGATACCGTCAGGGGAGATGGGCGAGTTGATGCCCGCATAGGTCTGCGTCGGAGCTTGTCGTTCTGCCTTGGGGCAGAGGGCTGTCGCCCGTGCCATCAGCAGCACCACCAGCGGCCGGATGTGCTTGCCCTCGGCATGTGTGTAGTATTTCGCAACCTTTTCCAACGCAGGGTGGCCTGAGCCGAGGAGGTTCCGAATATTGCCAGTCAAAAACTTCATTTCCTTGGCCACTGTTCTCAGAGGGTCGATGTGCATGTCACCCTTTGTGACACGGTTGATGGCGTTGGAAGCCATGTGCCCGGCGACCTGGACAGCGGCACCCCATGCTGATGACCTCCTCGAGGTATTGTGGTATGATGCAAAGTGCGACGGCAATCTCGGATCGACGGCTGGACTGCATCTCGGCCGAATAGCACACGTAGAGGAGAGGAGAGATCGTGACGCCTGGTGGGTGTTGCGCAGCACCAAGGCTCCTGGCCGGAGTTGCATGGCGCCAAAGTGGTTCCGTTGAAACCCTTTGTATGGTGTTGAAGTCGGTCTTTGAACGTCAATTGGCGAGCTCACTACGGAGGGCTACGGATACAGGCGCCAGAAAGTGTCGATGGACGGTGGTCGCCGTGGTTGCCGTCGATGGTTGTCTGCTGATGATGATGAAATGGATTCGCTTTTTTCTCTCTGGCCCTCCATCGGCTCGGTACGGAACGCCCGCGCAGCGTGGGTGGAGCGTTCTGATGTTGTGATTGGTTGAAGCTATGACTGGGGCCATCCGTAGCTCCCTGGTGCAGCGCTGGTGCCTACTGGCTTGCGAGGCGCGATGTACCATGATCTGCGGCTCGACAATTCGATCGAGAAACCTGCATCAACGACATCGATCTTTCCGAACATGGTACGCCTTATCATGACACCTTCTATTGTGAAGGGTCTAAATCTTCTGCACAACCACGATGGTCTTCGAGCGACGCATGAAGAACCGACGGCCGGAACCCAGACCCAAATAGCCATCGATGCAGAACCGCCGCTGAAGGATCCTCAGCCTGGAAACCCCATCACACATGCCCAGGTTCTCCGTCTGTGGAAGGAGCTGAAGGGTGGAAGCCATCAAGGTTTCTCGCTGGAGAGTCTTCTGCAAGGATCGCAAGTCTACAGCCCACCCCCACCACCAAAACCAGAACCGGTAAGATTCCCGTCACAAGCACCTCCCCCGCCCATCGCTGACCATCCCCAGTCGCCAGAGTACAAGGCCCTCATGGCGCGCCTCCGTCGGGACGAGGAGCAACGCACGTACGAGCGCATGCTCAAGCAACCGTCTCGAATGCAGGCCTTCTCGCAGCAGTTCCCAACCGCCCTCTCGACCGTGCAAGGGTTCGCCGAAGTCAACCGACCAATCGACAAGTCAGACGAAGGCGACAACGAGGTGACATTCGAAGAGGTTCACCGTCAGGTTATGCTCATCTTCAACTTTATGGTCAGCATCCTGGGTGTCGCCGGCACAATCTGGGTCGTTGCGCGATGGTGGAGTACCCCTGCGCGACTCTTCGTCACCATGGGCGGTGCTCTCGTGGTGGGCATCGCCGAAGTCGCCGTCTATTCTGGCTACATATGGCGCATGGGCGAGGCGAAGAAGCAGCAGGCGAAAGTGAAAGAGATCAGGGAGGTGGTGCAAACCTGGGAGGTTACGGCAGACGCAGGAGAAAAGGCATCAGATGGCGCGTCAACAGCGGAGATGATTTCACTGGACACGAAAAGAGAACATGATGCTGCTGACGAGGGCATACGACGACGGCTGAAGGGCGAAAACTAGGCCGTTGTGAATCAACCCAACCTGTTTTGAATATTCGCCCTGATGTCACTGTAGTTGTCGCTTTCACGAGGGGCTCGAATGATTCCGATAAGATAAGGCTCCAGGATTTCTTACAGACATCCGTCATCGGTGCCATCCTGATTTCACTTACATCACGTGCCCTCGCGATAGCGCGTCAAGACGCGCCCGCGCGCGTAAACACGCGATTTCTGGCGGTGGGGCATCGTCATTCCTCCGAGGGTCGCCCTACCAGCCTCGTACTTCCATAATACGACTTCACGCACGATTGACGAACTAATCAGCACTGCACTCATTTCCAGATTTCGCCTTCTTGGATATTTCCTGGCAAATTTAGGCATCCGACGCATATATAGACCGATCGCTCAGGACCGCCACTACTCATCGTGACACACCTCGAAGCATTGCGGCCCAGCCGCCTTCTCTCCAGTTATCTCTTCCGTCATGGACAATCTTCACGCGTCCAGCCTTGTCACCCCCCAGAATGACAACAAGAAGTGAGGAATCAAGGATGCACTCTGGCAATTACATGGCTAACTAACCCCTTGTCGCAGGAGATCATTGCGTACCTACGGCAAGAAGCGAACCCTACAGACCAGCGATGCTCCCGCCACGACCGACAAACGACGACGCATCACGGCAGCCGAGCCTGAACTTCCACCGCCATCTACAGTTAGCCGCCAATCTCCATCATCTTCAACAAGCACCTTCGCGAAGGGCTCGATATTGAACTACTTCAAACCATGTCTATCGAGCTGCGATGCCGGCTTGACGGACAGCTCATCAGACCCACCGCACATGTCTTCCACTCCGCCATCCTCACCACCGCCCACTGATACGAAGAGGACACCGCGCCGGCTGCGCCTACGACCGCCAACACCAGTCATCGCGCCACTCGGGACAACAGACTTGGAGGATCCGAAAGTAAGCGAAGAGAACAGGCAATGCTCCGTACAGTACAAGGGCAAGGCGTCCCAGATGCCTGGCAAGAAGACAGGCGCTGTCCGCTCCACCCTACAGCAATCCCCAGACACAACACTCAACACCAAATTAGCGTATGTGGAAGCTGAAGAGGGACAAAAAGTCAAGACGACCCGTTCCAGGTCCGCTCCCATACAAACAACGATCAATCTATCGACGAAGCCGGCCTTCGAGGAATGCAAGATGTGCCATATCGTCTATAACCCATTGCACCCGAAGGATGTCAGATACCACACACAAAGACATAAGGCAATTATGAGAAGCCAAGGGAGGGAATGAATGTGGCATTGCGAGGGGCGTTTTTCGGGTCTAGCGAAGATACCATGGATACCGCATTTGATTTGGGTCATGAACATGCTTATAATTCCACTGTTCTTAATTGATATTCTCACAACCTACGTTGATCCCCCTTGCCCGTCACCTGTCGTATTCGTCGGGCGCTTCTTCGTCCATCAGCAGATATTCCGACTCCACTATCCCCGGTCCTTCTACAACCCCACTCCGAGGTCTCGCCATCGTGATTCCGGACATTGAAGTGGGCCATCAAGGCCCCGACAACAACCATGAAGTTTTTTTTTTCCCAATTCATGCAGATTCTTCTCGTCCGCCCCATCCGTACGCCATGAGGCCCGCTGCAAACCCGGCATGCAACAACAAGCAACCCGCCTGCCCGGCTAGCTCAATCGGTAGAGCGTGAGACTCATATTAACAAGGTGGGGGGTTCGAGCCCCCGGCGGGCTCAATTCTTGACGCATCTCGCAAGAGCACTTCATCTTTTGCTCATGTGGGCTAAGAGTACTTGTCGTGTGACGATTGAAGGTAATGGTGACTTTCTTCCAGGGGTCATAGCTGTTTTGTGTTCGATATAGTCATCCTCTGCGCAACCTCACATTTTCTGATATGCAAGCAGATCGTGAAAGCTACCTGGTTTTACAAGACTTGGCCCTAGGTTTCACAGCTCAACGCAATACCTCTTCAGTATCGTCGCAATAGCTGGATCCGTCGTCGAGTCAATCATGGCCTGGTCCGATCTTGCGCCAGCGCGCAACAACGCAGCCACTTTCTCCAGAGACCGTGCTTCGACGGCAAGCAACAGGGGCGTCTTTTTCTGCGTGGCGGGGAGGTTGAAAACCTCTGCAATCTTCTCTTGCTCCCCAAAAGCCTCAACTTTTTGAAAAAGCGTCTTCAAAAAGTCGTCGTCACTGGCGCGCACCCCCCCCGGGAAAAATTTTTTCCCCGCCAATGCTGCCCCGAAAAACCGCGGAAAATGTTGAAATCTTTGGCAGGGGGGAGCTCAAAACCCTGGGGAAAAGGCAGAAAATGCCCCAGCAGAGCCCCTCTGTGTAGAGCGAAGCGCGAAGATTTTCCACGTCACGCTGAAAGTCTCGGGTCTAGCGGGGAAAAA